TATTCTTTACTACTATTTTAAGTAGAATATACTAATATTTACTACCTTAGGTCTATAAGACTTATAAATACTAACTATAATATTAAAAAGTATATAAAGTACTAGTTTACTAAAAAGAAAGATCTAAAAATATTAAAAAAGCTTATTAATACTAATATATAAAGTAATTAACCTGTAAGTAAAAAGTATAAAACAATTATTATATAGGCTTACTTTTATTAAGACTAAGAACCTTAGACTTTATATAAAAACTAATATACTAAGTAAGTATTAAAAAGCTAAAAAGACCTAACTACTTCTTATAAAGTTATTTAATATAGCTAAAGTAAAGGTATTATAGAAAAGAAAAGTATTTAAGCTAAAAGTAAAAAGGTATTTTAAAAAAAGATTATATTAAAAGTACTATATTATATATAACGTACCTATATAGTAAGCTATATATTATAGTAAGCTATATACTTCTCTTTCTTTTTTTATTTTTCTTATAAGTTAATTAAGCTATAATATATAAAATTAATTAAAACTACTTATTACTATCTTCTTTATTACTATCTTAAACTACCTTATAAGTTTATATATTATATCTAGTCTTTTTATAATTACTATATTACTATATATATAGCTTACTACCTTTTATATAACCCTCTCTTTAGGATATTTCCTTATCTCTAGCCTTAACACCCTCTTTTTCTTTTTATAGCGCCTCTACTTTAGCTATATTAAGTAACCCTTTAAGACGTAGTTAGGTCTTTTTAGCCCTTTAGTACTTACTTAGTATATTTATTTTTATATAAAGTTTAAGGTTTTTAGCCTTAATAAAAGTAAGCCTATATACTAACTTACTAATACCTTTAGCTTAAAAGTTAATTACTTTATATATTAGTATTAGTAAGCTTTTTTAATATCTTTAGATCCTTTTTCTTAGTAAACTAGCACTTTATACGCCCTTTAGTGCTATAGTTAGTGTCTTTAGGTCCTATAAGCCTAAGTTAGTTAGATATAAGCTAGTAAGTATTAGTGTATTTAGCTTAAAATCTAGGTAAGAAATAACTCTTTTAGGGTTAAAAGGTATAAGGCTAGCCTATCTAAAGCTAGTATATATATTTCTTTCTCTTATTAAAGTAAGAAACACTACTTTAAAAGTAAAAAAAAATTATCTTTTATAATATATAAAATCTAAATTTATATTATTTTTTTAAGTTTTTTACTATATAAGAGCTTTAATAAGCTAAAATAACTTATATTAAGAGGCTAAAGCTTATATAATAAATAAAGAGGTATATATCAAGTAATAATCTTTTATTTCTTATAAAGATTATTAAATTTAGTTAATTTATAGCTATTATAGCTATTAAGAATTAATAGTTAAAAACTACTTTTTATATAAGACTTTACATACTAGTTAAAATAGTTTAACTAATTTAAGCTAATATTATTTGTTACCTATTTATTTTTACTTAGTAATATATATTTAGCTAGAAATTAGCTATTTTAGTACTAA